GGGAGGCAGTGGAAGATAGGAGGGCCTGGCATGCTCTGGTCCATGGGGTCACGAAGAGTCGGACACGACTGAACGACAACGAGGCCTTATACTAGGGAAAAAAACTGGGGACAAGCTGGAACAGGCAATTGGTCCTGGAGAGATTTAACATGGTCTTTGGAAGCATCTCCTATGGCCTCCACTTAATCCAGGCCCAAACCCTCCCTCGATCATGAGCCTTAGCTGTTTTGTCTTATGTAATTTGAGACATAAGCACAGGGCTGTGAAATCCCTCTGAACAGAGTGCATCTGATTAAGGGAACTGCAGAACACAAAAGTTTATCTGAAAGAGAAAGCATTAATCTTTAATGTGTCAAAAGATTCTTATGTGAAATAGAAAGCATTAATCCTTAAGGTGCCAAAAAAATCTTACATTTCTCTCTTAAATAGATGCTTCTTTTTGTGTATGTTAGCAGATCCCTCTCATCTGCCTGTCTTGAAGTGAACAAATGAGTTGTATTAGAAGGGATGGGCTATACCAGTGGTTCCCAATCCAGATGTTCCTGGACTTCAAACTCCCAGAAACCCCAGCCACCCAGCTGGTAGTGAAGCTTTCTGGGAATTGCAGTCCAAAAATATCTGGGTTACCCAAGGCTGGAAACCACTGGTCTACACCAATACCTCTGCTGCTCTTCATAGTATGAAGGTGGAGCTAGCTAAAGAGCCATTTGCTTATGTTGAAAAGCAATTGATGGTGAGGTGAACAGAATGTTTACTTTGGAGGAAATGTTTATGTACAAAGCTGACCAGTTAACTGCAAGTCAATCACCATCTCTCAGCATAGTCTACAAAATGGAGACAAGTAATATATAATAAGCTAAGCAAATTCAAGGAAAAGCAACACAAATTTTAAAAAAAATCTAATTTGCTAAGATCCTGGGTTATGTGGGTTTAAAATACTGGCTTCCCAGCTTTTTCTCCATTTCTCCTTCTCGCATAAAAACAAGATCAAAATACATTTCTGAGCAGAGGGATAGGGGATGGCCCCCATTTGCACACCACTAATTCATTCTCATGTGAGATAATCCTCAAGCCACTCTTACCTCTGAAAGGAAGTTAAATTTTTGCAGGAAATACTTCCAGTCTATGGAGTGCTCACCACGAAGACGCTGAAGTTTGAGGAGGTGGTTGAATTGCTTTTCTGAGAGTGTAAAACAGAAGTGGTGAAGCACCTGCCGGAAATCCAGGGTTGAAATTGTTCCTGTACGCTCCTTGTCAAAAGCAGCAAATGCCTGCAAACAGCAGAAAAAGAGATGTCACTCTAAGAACAGGCATTTTGGAAAGTGATCTCTCTCTAGCAAGGCACTTCCTGAACGACAGAGGTAAATGGAGATACACACTCCTTGCTGCCTCAAGTATCCTATATGTGATATGCTGCTGAGAATTTCCAAATGAATTCCGGTTCAAGCACTTTTTAAAGCTGAGCTTCTGTTCCAAGAGCTTCTTCTCTTCTAGCAGGATTTATTATCTAAAGTATCAGGTAGGAAGCTGGTGTTTACAATAGGCCTCCATAGCAACCAAAAGCAACTAGAGAAACCTGGGTGTTCAAAGATGGTCTGAGAGCCTAGCTAGCATGGAAAAAAAAAGATACAAGGAGTTGCCTGCTGTATCTGACTTCACCAAATACTACAGAATGGCAAACCCGTACTGACAGTGAAAGCAGCTGCAACACTCCAATTAACGTTTACAGTAATGTGTCAGTCTCATTTATGCATTACAGTTTTATATGGATGATTCTGAGGTAAATACTTTAAACAGGGTATCATACATTACCCACTTTTTTGGTCTTCCATGTGTGCGTGTGCGCGCACACATGAGTATTTTTTAAATATAAATATAACTGCCTCTTTTTTTCCAATATCAGGCAATAGAAAGGAGAAAGACATTGCAACAACAATTTTAAAAACCCGCCCACCCCCACAAAAATGGGGGAATAAATTAGGACAATTGCAGGATTAAAACAATCTGGTCAGCAGTTTAAAACTATGTAATATTAAAGTTACAGGAGTTGATACCAGCCAATTACCAGAAGAGACCAGGTTACATATGTACAGAACAAAAGCAAAACACCTTGACAAACGGATGAATGTAGAAGAGTATCTCCCACTGGGACAAGATTCTAGCTGGAACATCAGGAAGTCACATAATAGACTCTGAAGTGAAGTGGAAAGATCAAAGACTAATCAAGTACAATGGGGCTACTTGGATACTGGATAAGTTTTCTGTGACTGTGGAGGAATTCAATCAATTCAGCACTTATGTGCATATGATTTATGCCCAACAAAAGAAGATTTAGCAAATGGCTGAGATAAAGCTATTGAAATAGCCTGTTTCTGGTTTAAAATAGTCCAATTATGTTAACCTTTTAATTTTTTAAAAAATTATACCTATACATATTTCATATACATCTAGAATTTTAAATTGTGCAATTCTCTGATAGATAGATAGATAGATAGATAGATAGATAGATAGATAGATAGATAGATAGATAGATAGATAGATAGATAGAAAGAAAGAAAGAAAGAAAGAAAGAAAGAAAGAAAGAAAGAAAGACTGACTGACCAAGTATTCCTGGTCAAAGAGTTTAAGGCCCTTTCCCCAGCTGCTACCTTCTGGAAAGGAAGGGCATCTTCAAAGGTGACTACTGTGTACAATTAGGCTTGTAGTGAAGGATGCGACCCTTTGGATGCTCAAGGTAGTGGGGGCTGGACCGTTCAGGCAGTCCTACAACCTTTTCATGTACATGTGAATGTACAATTTCCTGTTTTTGCTTTTGGTTCTGCTGGTGCCTCAGCCCTTCTCAGGACTAGCTGCTGTGCTTTTCACCAACAATATAATGGGAATCAGCCACCAAAGTTAAAAGATGAGCATGAGGGGGATTGTTCCTGGAAAAAAGATACAGTAATGTCATATTTTTCAAGATTTGTTTGGACTGGGAATTTCTTGCTGCTCCTATTGAAGAAATGGCAGCAGCTGGTTTTCTCCCTTCATGGAGAGTTTGGAGGAGGAGTCATCCTCAAAGACAATGTACAGTATATGCTACCAGCATGGGATCCTAAATTATTTCTGGGTGTGGGTATCTTTTGTCTGAGCCTTGGACCATAAAGTTCTACTCCCTCTTCTCCAAAATGATGAACAAATGATGATGCCAAGATGGCACTCACCTTGTATAACAAATCAGATGACTCTGTAACTATTTGTTTAATCTTTCTCATGGCTTCATCTATGCTGAGTTGCACAAAGCTGATGGGTGGTACAGGTGGCACAGTGTTCCTTCTCCGACGTTTGAATGCTGCACGATCATCAATGGCTCTTAGAAAATCAAAGTATGAGAGCTTGTTGTCCTGGATGCTAATTCCTAAACTAAGGGGGGAAAAAAGAGAGAGGACCAAGGATTCATTTTGTATTTCCAAAGTAGCACAGTAAAGCTGCTGCTATTAATCACTCCAACACAGGTTTTTATACAATTCCCGGATCTAGTTGTAAATTGGTGAGAGTATTCTTTTGCCAGCCAGCTGAGGATTGTTGTTTTGTTCTTTATTTTTAAAAAGGAGCTCAGCTACAAAGCTAGGCAATCAGCATCTTCTATTTGCATATATTTACACTGATTACTCAGTTATTTGGATTTCAATCTTGCATAGCCTGAATCTTTTTAACATCCAAGAAAGGAAGGAAGGAAGTTGCCTATCCCATTTATTCCTTTTCTTGTGGCCTTCAATACCTTCTGCTTAACTTTTGTCCTTTAAAGTCACGCCAAAGAGGAAGAGCTTTCAAGTCCAGGAAGATGCTTATGTCTTCTTGAGTTGCTAGGGGGAAGAAGCTTCTTTACATAGCCTAATCAAGTGACGGTGACATAAAATACCTTAAAATAATGATTAGTGTAAGGACCAGCGCTAAACTTGCTAAAATTATTTCCTGTTTTTAAGAACTGGCAAAGTTAACACACCCACTTTCATTATTTCATTATGACAACAGTGAGTGGAGACCTGCGTGTGTGAAGAACCTTTATTCTTCAAGCACCACAAAGAAACTTACGTCACTTCAAGATACAGTACTTTTCAAGGAAGGCAGCTCATACATTCAGTGCCAGCACATTAAATGCCGAACAACGGAGTAAAAGAAACTCTTCGTTGTGCTACACAGGCAGGTATGGACCAGCCCTAACTCAAATAACTTGTTGCTTGCCAATACCTTACTTTCATCATTGCTAATTGGTATTTCTATATACTAATTCAATGGAATATATGTGATGCTAATTTATTTTTTATTAGTTCAGTTTATAAAGGAAAATTAAAACAGAATGCAGACAAGTCTTTGCAAGGCTAGTCAGGAACATTTCCTATATTAACAAATTAGATAATACAAATTCATTGTTTCTCCATACTTATGCATCTCTTTTCTACAGGACATGGGGAGTGTGCAGGATTACCGCACTGCATTTGTCTTTAAACTCTTTTTGACCTGCCTGTCAGATGCAGAAAGAATTTTCTGACAGCAGAAGAATGAAAATAAAGAGAGACAGTGAAGGCTATCTCAAGCAAAGGGTGGTGGGTCAGGGTTAGACCACATTTTACATCCATAAGGTCCCCGGTTCCATTCCTGGCCCCCTCCAAGTGTAACAATGTGCTGCCTCGAAAAGCACTTTCTTTCATTTGCCCTGAATTTCTGATCCTCCAACTTCGATAGGTGTGAGAGAAAAACATCTCCCAGTCAACTTTTCTGCATGCCATACATAATTCTGAGCACCTATATACCATGTCTCCTTTTTATTTGACCTTAGTCTATACTAAACAGTCTCAGATGTTGTGGCCTTGCGCCTCACAAGACTGTGGTTCTGGCTATTTTAACATATGGATAGCCCTTTTACACATCTTTTCTGGCTTTGCAAAATTGTATTTTAGGTGTGGTCCCTAGAGAGGCAAGCCTCATCATTTTAAAAGAAAGAGGAAAGCAGCAACAGCTTCTGCTTTTTGATTGCAGTGTCAGGTCACCCATGAGCCCTAGGGAGATACTAGGGCATCAGCAGTTACCTAAGAATGCCAACCTCTGCTAGATGAGGTCCCTTATCATACAGATCAAGAAAGTCTTTTTCTGTTTTTACCTTGGCCAAGGTATCTTTGTGCCTGAAGGGTGGGGAAAGCCAAACAGTGGCTGCCACCGCTGTAGCAAAAGTGCAAAAATAAAGCAAATAATTGGCAATTTGTTATCTCTTTGTTAGGGGGCCAAAATCAGCTACCTGAAAGCTATCCTTGTTCTGATTAATTGTAGACATGCTTCTTCCTTTCTGCCTCACATAGTTCTCAAAAGATATAGATGTGAATGTTGGAAGCTTTTTAAGATCAGCCAAGGCCAGTAATGAAGATCTGAAGCAGAAGGTTCCATTTCTGGCATTAAATGTTTCCACCAAAGTACCTCTTATGGTCTGTTTTCACTGTAAATCAGACACTGATGATTCTTTCCAAAGTGACCAACTGCCAGGATATTCATTGGCAACAATAACTAATTAAAGGGGTGAAAAACAGTTTTAATGAGGCGGCTTGACACAAAAAAATGGGGCTGGAGAAAAAATAATAATAATAATACATGGACCCACATATGTGCTGCTAACTACCCCTCCTCTCTCCGCCCGGCAATAGCGTTTGCATCTTGCAGCTGCAGAGCACTCAAATCCACATATTAGCCAGTGTCAAGCTGGCTCAGATGTTAGAGACTCAGTGGAAAGGGAAATAATCAACGTACTTCAGCGGAGGAATAAATTGCCAAGTTGGTATTAAAATTTTAGTAATAAAACTGAATGCATATGCTAATCTACTCTATTATTTAAGGCAGGGTGGAGGGGGAGAAAAGACTCTTCGATCTAGAAAGGACTAGTTGGCAGAAAATTACAATGAACAGAAGTGTTTATCATCAAAAAGTCTTTGAGGAAAAGAATATGCAGCTAAAATTCTTATTAGAGGCTTAATTGAAGGGGGCTTCTTCAGTCAATTTATAGGTGGAGGGAAAAATATTTTGTTTTCCATGTCACCTCTCTTTCAGAAAAAAAGGAGAGACTTGTTTGGATGGGTCTCATGTGATCTATGCAATTTTAAGGCTCGCTTTGCATAGGAAGGTAAATATACTTTACCTTTAAAAGGTCTATTATATTCTCAGTTTTGGTCAGGTATTGCCTGTTCCTTGGGCTTACACAAAAAGTCTGAAGTTCTTCTGCTATATGGAATTTATAAAGGTACACAGTAGCTATAGTGTATATTATTTTTTAGAGATTCCACAAAAGGAGATTAAAAATCATAATTTCTATTGATGCAACTACAGCAAAAGCTCTCTGAGACAGTTAGAGAGTGGTTGTTGTGAGTTTTCCAGGCTGTTTGGCCATGTTCCTAAGGTTTTTCTTCCTAACATTTCACCAGTCTCTGTGGCCAGCATCTTCAGAGGACAGGGGTTCTGACTCCTATCCTCTGAAGATCCCAGTGACAGAGACTGGAAAAATGTTAGGAAGAAAAACTTTAAGAACATAGCCAAACAGTCCAGAAAACCCACAACAACCATTGGATCCCAGCCATGAAAGCCTTCAAGAATACACAATTACAGAGTGATTATATTGTTGGCCTCCCTTCCTCTTCAGCTTTTGCTCTCTCTCTGTGTGTTCTAAAATAAAGCATAAATTAAATAGCTTACTAATTGCTTGGACTCTTTAATTTTGAGACATACCAACAGTATACCAGAAGTTAAAATTTGCCAGAGGTGCAATGTACTACCTCTGTTGTGTAGAAGGTAATTGGGGATACTGAACCTCTAAAAACTACATAACTCTATCTTAAATTAAAATAAATTGATGGGACCTACTAAGCAGTAGCATTGTGCAAAGAAAAATTCAAAGCCCAGCCGTTCAAAATGAACAAAGCTGATAACACCATGAGAAGCAAACAGACTGATATCCCAAATCTATATGTGAGGATCACTTGAACCTATTTTATTATCGGTACTTTTAAATCAGAGGAATGTGTACTTAATGCATTAGGGTAGATCTATTAAAGTAGTGCCAATCATAACAACCTGTATAAAAGTTCACTATACTGTTCATAGCCAAGGCAGCACTGAAAGTCTTCCAGCAGCTTACGTAGGCTGCCCAGTGATATATAGCCTTCCCTGTTTTTATCCTGTTGCAAAAAGGCCTTGTGGAAGTCCTGGGAACAGGTGTGGTACTTCTCTCTAAAAGAAAACAAATGTTCATTTTAGTACTATTGTTAAAGAATCTAAATTATAAATTTAATATATTCAATTTTTTGGCTTGAAAATGGTCTGTATACAACCTGCCAGCCATGTACCGGTATGTACATTTGTTTTAAACCAAGAATAATACACCACCTGATTTTACTGACTGAAATAAAAACTGCAGAGGCACTGGGGTTAGGATCAACTAGAATCCCACAAAAGATGGCTGACTGCACTTAATGCAGCTCAGTAAGCCAGAATCTGCAAGCCATTATTTAATATATAACATAACATAACATAACATAACATAACATAACATAACATAACATAACATAACATAACATAACATAACATAACATAATATAATATAATATAATATAATATAATATAATATAATATAATATAATATAATATAATCCATCCAAGTCAGTGGGATCCCACTCTCAAGGACAAAACAAAGTATGAACCTAGGGGCTTGTGACATCACTTGTAATGTAATATCAGCAACAACTGCAACAAGAGTGTGTTTTTGTGTGAGGGGGAAAAGGAGAGAGAGGGAGAGAGAGTCAGACAGACAGACAATGTAGAGACTCACAAATTTAAAGGCAAATGCATGAATTTCAGTAACAGCAGCCATGGCAGCAGTGGCAGCTCTCGAACATGCAAATTAATGGGGCAGGGGAGGGAGGATGCATCTGAGAATTTCTAGAAGGTGTCTGAAGCCATGAGAATGAACCCAAAAATATGGGTTACCAGTCTGACAGCATTCTGTTCCTTGTCCAAAGCCTAACACCTATGAAAGGATGCTGAAACTGATCAAGGCCAATGCCTGAGCCCAGGCAACCTTGTGGCACTGATTTGGGCAGAAGGGATATTTTGCCTCCATTATGCTCAGTTTCTCATGATAAAGCATAAAACAGAGTGCAGTGAAACTGGTGAGCTGGTAAGGTGTCAGGCGAAAGATAAGGCAGTTGCAGTTCTTAATACCCACTGATTCCTCGGTTCTTGTCTCCAATTTTTCTCCTTCTGTGACATGCCATACAATAGGTGAGGGAGAGATGTGGTGGGAGAGTCCCCTTCCCTCCCTTCAAGGGGAGTTTTAAAACCCTGTGCCTGGCTGCAAGATGGCAGGGCAAAACTTAAAAGCCAGAGTTGTGAATTGTGGACTGGGGCACCTCAGTTACGAATTCACTACGTCTCCTTAAATATTGCACTATTCTCTCGTCCTCATACACCTAAATTGCATCTGCATATGAGGACAATAATGCTGCCCTAGCTTACAGGGCAGTTTGTAAAAATTAGAGGCATACTGAGTAAGAAGCACTATAAACACTGGAGACGCTATACATATATAGATATACAATCATTATTAGTTGGATCTTGATCTGTGACAGCATTTTATTTTTACTAACATATAAATCTGCAAGATAATGTCTGCAGAAACAACCTGGAATCTCTTTCTGATGCATGCTACACAGTTTCATTTCCATGACAGCAATAGTGATGAAAAGCTATCTTCCATGTATACCTTCTTGGTTTTTTTTAAAACAGCAATCAAACCCTTTCTTTCTATTTTTATTTTTAGAAAAATTGAGACATTCAGCCATTTCTTGGACTGAGCATAAATGGTTGCCAAGCAGTAATTATTCCAATCATGGGGAAAGAAACCCACATAAAACAAAACTGAACACCAAGTATACATTTTAAATGACAGATCCAGATAGACTGCCAAAAGCATTTTTAAACCCCAAAACCTCACTGCCACCCAATCTTCATTTGCGAATTGTTTTGTATTTCTCTTGAAGTGCTGGAGACTTGCTGCTAATTTGGGGTATTTCTGCTCTTCGGTTAAAACAAAAGGAAAAAATAATATACCCAGATTTCCCCCTCCTCCTTGAATATTAAATCTAAGATCCATTTCTCAGTGGAACTGTGTCTAAATTGTAAGCTACTGATTATGTTTTACCAAACATTTAGGATTATATTGAAAGAGCAGCATAGAAGAGCAGTTGGGCCCTGCACTATAAATATGTAGTGGTTTAGGTACAGTGAGATACTTAGCACTGTGTCACATGACAATGAAAAAAATTGCTATTTAAAATGATATTGTAACCTTCACTTCGGTTACCATCTTCCCTCTTTAAATAGACGGGTGGTGATGAAGAAGCCAATGATCATTCCCACCCCTATTAACATATGCTCCGGGGATTTGTAGGAGAGGAAGATCCTAAAAATAGCAATAGAGTTCCCCATTTAGTAGCCATATTATGAAGCAAAATACACCGAGTGGTTTGGGGCTGTTATGCAGTGGATTTCTCCACTAAGGTCACTATTTGTGTGAATCATTTTGTAGGGAAAATCACCACCAAAAAATCAGATACTAAAGTGGAAAACTAAGATCTGTATCAATTCCAAATACAGAGAATCTCACAGTTCGTGAATTCTACAACTATTTGCTTATTACTTGGAAACAGAACATTATAGCCATCTCTCTCTTTCCATTTGTCTTTGTTCCATCTCATGAGAATGTTTGAAATATCGATTGTTACTATCTTGCCATAGAGGACATAGAGGTAGTATCGTGAAAGTACTGAAAAGCATGACAGGCCTCCAAAGAGAAAAATAATACCCCCTAGTGTGTTGAAATTTAAAATACTTGTCCTCTGCCCACCATAAGGAGCAGCCACAGGTTCACTGATTCAGAATCATACCAGCCACTGTTACCTTTCTAAGCACAGATCCAGTGATACAGCAATTTGTTTACCTGATCTTGAATATAATCTCATTGATGTCAATGTGTTTCTTCTCCTTTCTTTTGTAATGATCCAAAAAGCGTACATAATTTTCTGACATGGATTGCTTATTGATGCCAATGTCAGGAGATGTCTCCACACCCATTTTTTGCAGGAATTCTTTATGGGTAAGGTAGCCCTTGCCATTGACATCATACCTGTAAAAGACACAAGAAGACATGTTATCTATCATCAGGTATTATATTTTACAGACTTAATACAATAAGACTATGGAGCATTCTGTTCTGTTTCCTTCTTGGAGGAAGTACATAAAATTCGCATTAGGAAATAAGCATTTTACTTTACCCTGAATTTTGCAGGAACATCTTATCAACAACATTGTCAAATCAAGGTCTGACACTTTACCAGCATCAGTATGCAGTGTATTGACATGTAGACACCAAGGGATCAGAAACAGCCTGTGGATTTGTCCCATGTTAGACATTCCTCTCTGTGTGGTTGAGTTTTTGTTGTTTGTGTAGAACTCAGACATTTCTTAGCATTTTAAAATGAAAATTCATCCAGACATTCTTGCATAAATTTTTCAGCCCTCTTCTGGGTGAATCTATGATATATCACTCTCTATGAACTAGCCACATTTTACCTTCTAATTCTATCACTTTTACTTGAAAGTTGAATCAGCCAATCTGATACTATTTTACATACTTTTGTTTAATCTATATTTTGTATACAAGAAAGCTGTCACTACAAACATAAGAAAACTTGCAATAATAAAAGTACAGTCAGAAGATATTTTAGCTAATTTATTTCTACTAAATCACCTTTTATCAAAAGGTGGTTGCTTGGGTCATTTCCCAAAATACACTACTACTACTACTACTACTACTACTACTACTACTACCACCACCACCACCACCACCACCACCACCACCACTACCACCACTACTACTACTACTACTACTACTACTAATACTAATACTAATACTAATACTAATACTAATACTAATACTAATACTAATACTAATACTATTGTTATTGTTATTGTTATTGTTATTAGCACTAGTTGGATAATGCTAAGAAATAATTTTCTTTTTTTCTCTTTTTTTTACTATTGCTAATAAGGAACTTTGCTTATTTTGACTGCCAGTTCGCTCTAAAAAATATCAGAACTTTAGGTCAAAACATTCCCACAGATGCAGCCGCCCCGAGTAGACATGGTCTAGAGGGGTGGGGTATAAATTAAATAAATAAATAAATAAATGATATTTTTACTACTTTTGCTCAGATGTCAAAAGTCAAAAACATTACATTATTCTGTCTACTCTCTCTCTCTCTCTCTCTCTCTCTCTCTCTCTCCCTTTTCCCTCAAGCTGGCTTACAATATTAAAACAATATTAAAAATTATTTTAAAGACTTGAGAAAGAGAGCTGCCTTTTAGGCAGCCATTTATAAAGAAGCCTTCTTGAAGAGAAAGGTCTTTGCTGGCCTGTGAAAGGACATCAAAGAAGGGACCAGCCTGGCCTCCCATGGGAAGGAGTTATGTGATAAATAACCTTTTCATACACCTTAATGGGTAATTGGAATGCATCTGTTTAAAAAAGTAATTTTCCAAAGCTGTTTTCCTAGAAATACTGTTGTTCCCTGGAAGCTTATCTGTGAGACTGGTATTGGCAGAAAAGGCTCTCTAGAAAGAGTTTGGTCTACACTACTGGTTGGCCAGGCCAGAAGGGACTGTAGGGTTTATCAATATTATAAGCCAACTTGATTATAAGCAGTATAGAATATTTTATTAGAAATATTGGCCTAAGTGAAAGCTGTAGACATGCCAGCTGCCCCTTATAAACTAGGAATCCCATAATCTATTTGCAAAGTGCTGGGGCTGTTTGGGAAACAAATCAGTATGGAAACTATTCTCTAGTGAAATGTGGTTTAAAAGTGCCCTATGTTAGGAGTGCATGGACGACTAACAGTTAGTTCCATTTCAATTCCTAATATTTAAAATATAGGCTTGATATTGCTTCCATGCTTGGTCAAGATGATAGACAGACAGATAAATAGATAGAGAGAAAGACAGACAGACTGTTTTAGATAACAATTTTCTATGGGCTACATTCTAATTTTCGAAAATACTGATGACTATTTGTTGTTTAGTATTCCATTATTCTGTCTGTCCAGCAGGCTGAGGCAAAGAGGAAGTCACAAAAGCAGCAAAATCAGGGAGCTGGACAGGGGACAGATTGGATTTGTCTTCAGTGTGGAAGGGACTGTCACTCTCGAATTGGCCTCCTCAGCCACACTAGATGCTGTTCCAGGTCCTCCATACAGAGCACGTTACCATAGTCTTTCGAGACTGAAGGATGCCTATCTATTCTGCCTGAAGACAGGAGGGCCTGGCATGCTCTGGTCCATGGGGTCATGAACTAAACAGCAGCATTCCATTATTCTATTCTTGATATTCTATAGTTTATATTTTAATTTTCTATAGGTTAATTCCCACTATACTCCACTTCTAAATTTTCCCATGTTGATTGCAATTACTTGATTTAATCACATGGGAAGCAGGATTTTGTTTTCAAGCTATCTAAAGTGGAGCATGTATAGCAGATGGCTTAATGCTAAAGACACACTGTCACACAACATCTTTAAGGAGTAAGAAAATAAACTGAAAAGCAATGATGTAGAAAATAATGCAATGATGAATCACTGCTAGGAAATAAACCATATTGTCAAGGCACTTTAAAACTATATTCAGTACCTGTGACTTAAACCAGATATAACCTTGCCTTCTACACACACACACACACATGAACACATGCATGCATGCACGCACATGCACACACACACATATATGTAGAAGGCAGACCATATAGAATACTAATACATTTAGCTTACATTATGTAAGTATATGCATACATCTATAGCTACTTCCAGAACTATCTCCATACCTATTCTATCATCAGCTTGTACAGATTTTAGTTACAAAGCTTGGAAAAATGTTAACAGTAACATTAAATTTGTTACCTTTTTGGACTAGGAAAAGCCTTTTAAAATCTAATATTTTAAAAAAACCAAGATTTTAAAAAGTAATGTTAGTGTTCAAAAGATTGCTTCTAAATGCCCTTCTGCCCCCTTCCCCATACAGAAAATGTTTTGTAACTTCCTTCAAAAACTAGATTCATACTAGGTAGCCCAGTCAGGGCCCTATAAATGCACTTGCACTGTGATACCAAGAAGTCCTAATTAGCACAGCCAAGAGCTCATGGCATTTCTCAAGGATTCTGCAAATTACAGTCCTAAAATGTGTGGAGCACCAAGGTTGAGAATGGCTACTCAGGAGCCAGCTGGCCACTCCCAATTAACTTCTTCATGATCGAATGATAAGAAGGTTCACCTGAAAACACAGACCTAATTAGAAGCTGACTCAGAGAGCTGGCCTCTCTGATCTCAAGCAACTATTGTGATCATAGGGCCCCATTCCTACTGCACTCCAACCAGGTCAATACTGTAACAGCCACCTTATACCTCACAAAGGGGCCGTTACATCACACTCAATCACTCTTCGTTTCCACTGCCACCAACCATTCCCTCAAATAAAGCTTCAGGCCAAAGTATGATTTCAAAATAAAAACTTAGGTTTATTGTGTACACACAAAAGGAATGGTAAATCACTTGAATATAAATAATAAAGCAAGCACTATAATAATATAACAATCACACACACTCTCTCACAGACCCTCGCTATATAGCACAGTTCTTATCTCACAGTATCTCCAAGCCCTATCTCCCTATTTCCACCCTATCTCAAAGCCCTATCTCAATGCCCTATCTGAAACCCTCACACCATTCACTTCCCTTATATACAACAGCTCCACCCCTTATGTCCCACCCTCCGTCACGCCATTGGTAGATGACACACAGCTTCAGCAGTGACAGGCAGGTGATGTCATAGCTGTATGTAACAAATACAGGAGGGGGGCTCGGACAAACTAGCTTAAGTTTCCTGTACACTTGTCTCTATAAGTAACTGATATTAAAGAATCAATATCTGGTTGCAGCGAAGAAGAAGAGTGAGAACCTTGTGAAGGGCTGGAGGGATAGGGTCTTCAGAGGAGATTGCCACAACTGGTAATTGAACAAATTAGATGTTTTCAGTTTTAAACATTAATGGCAAATATTCCAATGGTAGCCCCATCATTATGAGCTTCCTTGAACTAGAGTCTACTTTATCAGATGAGTGATGAAGATAGTTTTTTTAGATGTTCACGCTGTAAACAGGTGTGACATCTCAGCTATGAACTCAATATTAAAAGCATTAATTTAACCTTAGTTCTTTCATTTTTTTAAATTTTTTAAAAACCAAAATCAATAAAACAAAAATACAGAAATACAAAAGAAAATAACATTAATGGCTACAAAAATAACAATATCATAATTAGTACAAATAAGAGATAGGGATGAAACACCAAACTTGATGACCCACGACCCATGAATTGCCCCCAGTGACCCAATGAACAACGAATCAATTCATCATTCATTGGGTCTTTTTTTTTCTTTTTTCTTTTGCTTTCCCTCCTCTTGCTATGCCCTACAGGCTTTGAGATCCCTTTGATCCCTTCCCTCCTCTTCTTATGCCGCGCAAGCATAGGAAGAGGAGGAAAGGGGAACCAAGCCATCCCCCAGCCCCAGGGGTGGGATTCCCTTTGGACAGGCTTTAGTAAGCTGCCCGAAGGGAAAATCTCTCTCTGCTTATGCCCCTGAGGAACAGCTGACCCACGGATAGGAAATGAAGGGACGAAAATAAAAGGGTTGTATTCATTGCTTCATATTCATTGGGGTCTCTGAACCCCAAGAATACGAAGCAACAAATATCATAAATCAGGGATATTTAATGAATATCCTGATTCATTTTTTACATTTGTCCCCATGTCTAGTACAAATAATACTTCTTATACACAATTTTTCTTGTTACTATCATTCACTGCTCTCCCCCTGGGTCCTTTTGAGAGATACCCATTTTATTTTACATTCTAAGCTCCTTGTCCTTTCCAAAATTGCCAGGTTTCTTGTGCTGACTTTTTCCTTTCACAAAAACAAATTCTATAAAATCTCCCCATATGTCATTAAATCTATTCATTTTTAACAAACCCTTTTTTATTTTGATCCCACATGTCAGCTTATCATTGATAGCTAAATTCCA